ATGTGTTTGCAAATGTGTGCTAACTAAACCCCCCGTTTTTACGCATACTGTTAGACGGGGTAATTTGGTTTGTTTGCAGGCTGGCTGGCAAGTTGAGCCGGGAACGTTTCTCTTTTGTTGTGTGACATGCGTTGCCCGTTCAAGTGCTCCTTGCTGTGAAGGCCAGTTATAGACTGGGGCAGCCGCCATTTCTTGTACTATCAGGGTGAGCAAGCCTAGTGCTTGTCAGTCTCCAAAGATGCAGTTTTACAGCTTCCACCAACCTTCCATCTCTCCCAGACATGACTTGTCTGTTCCCAGGTATGAGAGCTCTGACTGCATGTTTCTGGTGAGTATAAATTACACCCAGGGAGAGGCGTGAAACCTGAGCTGGACCAAGGATCAGAGATCCCTAAAAGTGTATGAGAGGAGCCTGGGAGATGTGTGAACCCAGAAGAGGATTTTCCCAGCTCCCTCTGAGACACTCTGCTACATATCCCCCTTGTTTCATCCCCAGGGTTGGCACAGCTGTGGCCCAACAGGAGTGAACCCGGGACCGGGCATCTACATTTCCCATCTTAGCCCCTGGTCTGTGTTTTACCATGAAGGAATAATCTTGAGGAGCCAAAAACCACCAGTTCACCCGTCTATTTGTCTCCTTCTTTTGGGCCATCCATTGAGGGGATCATGGTCAGCTATCAGGTCAAACTCACCCTAACAAATAGTATCTTAGAGCATCCAAGGACCACTTTATGGCTGAACATTTCTTGTCAATTACTGCACATTTTCTTTCCATGTTCATTACGTTTGTTTTCTGCTCAGGTAGACTACAGGGTGTTCTTCCCCATTATGTACCTGGGACAACATTGCCCCAATACCAACATCAGATGCATCCGTTTGAACCACATAAATCCTTGGAAAAATCAGGGGTGTACAGTACTGGGTGTGCACAAGGGGGCCCTCTTCAGGACTTGGGAAGACTCTTCTGCCACTGGGTACCATCTTACCATTACTAAGTCTTTCCCTTTTGTAAGGTCAGCCAGTAGAGATGTTAGAGTTGCACAATTTTGGATAGACCTTCTATAGTGCCAAGGAAGGTTCTGCTTTTTGTTTGCAGGATATTGCCATTATTAGATGGCTTCTATTTTGTTTTATGACGCCTTGTCCAATAGTGTTGCCCAATTACTTGGTTTTTGCCGTTACTTTGTGGAACATTGTACAGCACCTGTAAATAGCACCAATAAACACTGCACTGTGTGACACCACATCACTGGACTGGTATCTGTCCCTGAAAGTGTGCCCATCCCAGGGAGCTTTGTACCCGCTACCCATCCCCAGCCCACGATTCAGAAACATTGAATTGCAATTTCCCCTGCAGCAACACCAAATCCTGTTCCATGTTACAGGTACCTCCAAGTTCTATTTTCCACTGCTCTGACCAGTCTTCCAGCAACACCAAATCCTGTTCCATGTTACAGGTACCTCCAAGTTCAAACGTAGTCTGGGGGTCCCCCCACATGTGGGGTCACATACAGGTCCCTATGTCATGTCTACCTATGATAAATGACAGGCTATACCCACCTGGAGACCTAGGGACACTGTACAGGTTCTATATGTCTCGGGGGTCCCTGTGGAAGTCCATGTGTGGACATGTTCTACCTATGATAAATGACAGGCTAAACCCACCTGGAGACTTTCTCCACACCTGGAGTGTGCTGAGTTCTTGGAGAACGTCTACACAGTGTTTCCAGATTGGCTTTATCATCACCCCAACGAGCTCGCTCCAGTTCATGGATGTCATCATTATGTTTGGAGGATCTCACCAGTCAGGAGCCTTTCCTGTCATCCTACATGTTCCCTTCTGAGGATTGTTCTATCCTTCCAAACAAATGTATGAAATCATGGATGAGTCCTCCTTCTATGTGATCTAGAAGATCTTCAATCACAATGTCTTTATGGATGAAGTGGATGGCCCAGTTTATATATTATTTATTGCTTTACAGCTTTATTCCCTCCAGGATTCATTCTTTATTTATAGAACCATTCAAGGAAGTGTTCTTACTGTGAGAGATCTCCACCACCATTCCTCTGTGACCATTACATCCTTGTCATTTATTTATTTCATGTACTTATATAGCGCCGTCAATTTACGCAGCACTTTACATATATATTGTACATTCACATCAGTCCCTAACCCTCGAAGGATGTACAATCTAAGGTCCCTAATTCACATTCATACATACACATACTAGGGACAATTTAGACATGATCCAATTCACCTACCAGCATGTCTTTGGGAGGGTGTGAGGAAACCGGAGTACCCGGAGGAAACCCACGCAGACACAGGGAGAACATGCAAACTCCAGGCAGGTGGTGCCGTGGTTGGGTTTTGAATCGGCGACCATAGTACTGCCAGGCAGAAGTGCTAACCACCTTCAAAACAACCGCACTGTCTTTTTCCAGAGCAGCCTGGATTTTTCTTGTGGTTACCTGTGGGTTTCCCTTTGTATCCTGAACAATTATTCTGGCAGTTGTGGCTGCAATCTTTCTTGGTCTACCTGACCTTGGCTTGGTATTAAAAGGTCCCTGAATTTTCTACTTCTTAGTGGAAGTGATGACTGGCATATTCATGGCTTTGGACATCTTTTTATGTCCTTTTCCATCTTTATAAAGTTCCATTACCTTGTTACGCTGGAATTTTGATAGTTCTTTTCTGGTCCCCATGGCTCAGTATCTAGCCTAGTCAGTGCTTCCACGGAAGAGCTAACAAACTCATTGACTATTTATACACTGACACTAATTGCAATTTACAAAGCCACAGATGTGGGACATTAACCTCTAATTGGAATTTTAACCCGTGTGTGTCACCTCGTGTGTCTGTACCAAGGCCAAACATTCCAGGGGGCGGAGACTTCTGATCCGGGGGGCGGAGACTTTTGATCTGGGCCATTTCTGTTGTCATTATGATTTCTAAAAGAGCCAAACAACTATTGGATAATAAATGGCTTTCATGTGATCATCATCCTTCAATAAAAGAGCAGATCAGTCATATTTCAATATCAATGCCAAAATGTCACAATTTCTGCCAGGGGATGCAAACTTTTGAGCACAACTGTATGTATATATATATATATATTTAATGACATTTATTGCTTACTTATACGTACACAGCTGTATCTTTTTATCAAATTTTTTTATCTGCATTTGTGTTTTGACACGGTGGAGGACCCTGGGGAGGCTGCACTACCAATACCCCCCCCCCCAGGTGATCCAGGATATGGAGAGAATTGTCGTTGTTCACCTGGTGACGTCTGCTGGGGCATCATCCTGGGACTAAGGAAAATGGGTCTCCGAGTGTGTCCTCCTGAGACTGTGGAGGTGAGGGCTGCTGGTGGTGGATGGGGGCTGCTGCAGTGGTGGAGGTGAGGGCTGCTGCTGCCTGGTGGAGGTGAAGGCTGCTGCAGTGGTGGAGGTGAGGGCTGCTGCAGTGGTGGAGGTGAAGGCTGCTGCAGTGGTGGAGTGAGGGCTGCTGCAGTGGTGGAGGTGAGGGCTGCTGCAGTGTGTGTGGCTTTGTTGTGGCTTTGTGCACCGGCGCCATCTTGGCTGGAGGAGTTCACTGCAGAAGAGGGGACTGGCGGTCTGACCGAGGCTGCTGTGTGGGCTTCTTTTTCACCATTAGCACCGACTGTACATCTTGTGTTCCCCCAGCTAGTGCTGCTGTTTCCGGGACCCCTCCTCTGCCCCACTTCCTTCATTTATCTCGGATGGTGGAGGACATGCAGAACGCGGTCAGCACATAACCTGTCCCGGCCCAGCGCATGCGCACTGCGGGTTCAAAGACATTTTCTAGCAAAAATACTGATTGTTACATGGAAACAAAAAGTGTCAGAAATGGCTTGGGGGGGGTCAATGTCCTATTCCTGATCTGTGCCAGCTGTCCCATGTCCTGGTATGAAGACGTCTCCTCTTCTCTCTGTATTGCTTCCTTTGTGTGAGATCCCCGGTGATCCTGCCAGTCCCTCTGCTTCCCTGTCACTTTCATGGTCAGTTCTCCATCCATGCTGAAAACAAAGCCTGCTCTCCTTCAATGATAAGACTTGTCCTGACACCCCCCCTGCTCAGCCATGCACTGGGAAGACCTGTAAACAGAAGTCAATTGTGCTGTTGTTTCTCCTTCCCATATACAGCTGAGAACAGAGGGAATGTGATCACTTATAAAAAGGGAACAATGTATTTCTAATGTTTTTCTATCTATACACAAACGCTTTTCTTTCATTTTTTATGTTTACCAGAACTGGTTGTATTACAAGGTGAAGGCTTACATACAGATCACCTTCTATCCTTCCATGTCTACTGTAGTCAGAAGTGCATTAGTATGAATCCATGCCTGAAGAAGGAGAGTAAGGGGTCTGCTGATAGAAATTAATTGGACGAATGTGACACAAATTCATGGAGTCCTTACAGATTCTGGCCGTAATTTAACACATTGATTTCCTATGACCGTCAGCTCCATCTAGTGACCATAATGAGGTATTATTCATGAAATACCTCAATCAGTAAAAGTATCTCAATACTGCATTATGGCCACTAGATGGAGCCAAGAATCAGAGTATGAAATAAAATACGGCCAATGTTCATCCCAGCTGGGCGAACGCCGGTCACATTCGTTCAACTCATTCTTTTATTTTTAAATAGATCTCCAAGTGTTTGTGAAATCTCCCACCACAAAATGTTCTCAGCCAATGACAGGTCAGGACATTTTTATTCTCCTCATATATATGGGCAACCCGGTCCCACACTTCATCCATGTCTTTGGGGACCTCTCATCTCCTTATGAACTGTTTCTTCCAGGATGAAGATCAGCCATGGAGTATATCTGAGGTGTATATCAGGGTGTGCTTCTTCCCCACATGAGAGCTGGGATGTCCAGCAACATTCATCTAGAAGACATTTCCCACACTCAAGGCACTAATACACCTCCAGGGTTGTGTGGGACCCCTGATGTACAGGAACACAGGACTTCAGTGAGGAACATTTCCCTCACTCAGGACAGGAAAGTGGCTTCTCCCTGTGTGACATCTCTGATGGATAGAAAGATTGGACTTCTGTGAAAAACACTTCCCGCACTCAGGACAAGGATACGGCTTCTCCCCTGTGTGAGATCTCTGATGTATGTAAAGATTAGACATATGTGAAAAACATTTCCCGCACTCAAGACAGGAATACGGCTTCTCTCCCGTGTGAGATCTCTGATGTTTGTAAAGGTTGTACTTCACTGAAAAACATTTCCCACACTCAGGACAGCAATATGGCTTCTCACCCGTGTGAGATCTCTGATGTATGCAAAGACTGGACTTCCATGAAAAATGTTTCCCACACTCATGACAAGAATATGGCTTCTCCCCAGTGTGAGATCTCTGATGTGAAACAAGCTCTGATTTTTGAAAAAAACTTTTCCCACAATCAGAACAGGAAAATGGCTTCTCCCCTGTGTGCAGTCTTTGATGTGTGCTAAGGTGAACCTTCTGTGAAAATGTTTTCCCGCACTCAGGACAGGAATATGGTTTCTCAGCTGTGTGAAGCCTCTGATGTTTTTTAAGATTAGACTTTTTTGAAAAACATTTCCCGCACTCAGGACAGGAATACGGCTTCTCCCCCGTGTGAGATCTCTGATGTTCATCAAGATAGCATTTAAAAAGGAAACCCTTCCCGCACTCAGGACAGGAAAAGCTTTTCCCTGTTGGAAGAACAGCCCGGTCCCGCACAGTCTGAGGTTCCTCAGGATACGAGGAATCCGATGGTCCATCTACACTGGGTGGTGCCGGATGGACATTGGAGGGAGCCGGGTTTTCTCCTGGACTATACTGTGTGATGTCCTCATCTTCTACTTTCCAGTCTGGAGACAAAGTGAGACAATCCTCGGAGGTTTTCCTCATCTCCCGGCCATGGACTAAAATACAAAGACAAAGAGGATTACTAGACAGGAGCTGATTGGTTCCCCCAAACAGGACTCCGCCCACATCAGGCAAGATGGGGAACACAGCTCAGGAAAGTGACCAGGGGATTACAGGCTGATATCACCCAGTCCCCGCCCTACTCTGGACCAATCAGTGAGCAGTATGGGTGGAGGAATGGATTTAGTGTTCATGACCCACCTGTGCTGATCTCTGTAGGAGTGTCCTCCTCTATAAATGTCCCCGTTATTCCATCCTCCTCCATAGACTGCTGATCATCCCTCACATACGCCTCTTCTTCTTCTGCTTTCACCTCAAATTCTATATCGATTGGATCTCCACTCTAAATCAAGGAAATGAGAGAGAATATCATGTAAAAAAAAGATCACATAAAAATATCCACACATTGTCTCTACAAGTCCATGTTCTAGATTCTCCATCCCACCAACCTTGTAATAGTGAGGGATGGTGTGACCTTCCTGTGTGGAATCCCGGGAATACAGAGGACGGGGACATCTCTCTGGGTGGGTTCCTGGTATTAGGTGGCTCCATCATATCCTTGTGTCCTTCTGAAAACTCCTCCATCACTCCATACTCCTCATCCTCCTCTTTATACTCTTCTTTAACATCAATATTATCATCCCCGAGGATTCCACTCTGAAAGATATAATAAAACATTCATTGTAACAAACATGCTGTGTATAAATCACAACTACCAATAATTGTCATCATCTACCTGATGATGGTGAGGGGATGGTGTGACCTTCCTGTGTGGAATCCCGGAATACAGAGGACGGGGACATCTCTCTGGTGGGTTCCTGTAGCTGGATGACTCCACCATGGTGTCCTGGTACAGATCTTTGTGTTCTCTTTAGAAGCTCTGACTCCTCCATCCCCCCATCCTCATCCTCCTCCTCTTTTATCTCTTCTTTAACCTCAACTTTAGGATCTCTCAGGTTTCCACTCTGAATATATAATAAAAATGCCGTCAATGGTAACAATGCAGATAATGTACAGATCCTAATGATACTATCAGTGATTGTTCCTCATCTACCTGATGATGGTGAGGGATGGTGTGACCTTCCTGTGTGGAATCCGGGAATACAGAGGACGGGGACATCTCTCTGGTGGGTTCCCATGACTGGATCCATCTGTAGGAAACACACACACTGACTGAATCCATTGTTTCTATGTGTTTATCAGATGATGGGGGATCTAGGTGGATCCTCCGTACTGCTCTCTCCCTTTACAATAAAGTCTCCTCTTACCCGGTGATGTGAGGGGCGGCTGATTGTCCATCATGACGTCCTTGTAGAGATCCTTGTGTCCTTCTAAATACTCCCACTCCTCCATGGAGAAATAGACAGTGACACCCTGACACCTTATAGGAACCTGACACACACAATGATACAGTCACCATCCAGACACATCCCTTGTCTGTTACTGGAGAATGTCCCAGAATTCCCGGCACCGCTCACCTCTCCTGTCAGCAGCTCCATCATCTTCTTGGTGACTTCTAGAATCTTCTGCATGTTGTGTCTCTCAGGGTTTAGGGAGTCACATGGAGGCACTGTGATGGTCATATGATCACCTGACTTCAGAAGAGGAAATCTCTGAGGAACCAATAGGAATATCATGTTAGACTCCCAGAATCCTCCTCACTTCTCCGGTCAGGTCTGTGTTTTATTAATAGAGATAAGAGTGAGGTCATGTGACCTCCCAGAATCCTCCTCACCTCTCCGGTCAGCAGGTAGATGATCTCCAGGGTGAGGTTTAGTATCTTCTCAGTCATGTGACTCCGGTCCTCCTCCATCCTCATTGGTGCCATCATGTGATTATACAGGTCTCCTTGTAGACGGATAACTTTGGGAAATGAAAGTAAGAATGATTTGGATGGTATTGGTCACACAATAATAGGATGTGGATGTGAGGGGGGAATAGGAGGGTTGCTGGACATTGAAGAACTACTCCCCCCATGGGAAGACATTTTGTTTGGACTGTTTAGTGTTTGTTACATCTTGAAGGACCTGGAACCCTCTTGGCCTGTCGGATCAGAAATTCCCTTTTCTCTGTTGGGTTTGTTTTGTTTCTGAACTGGTTTGCAGCTGAATCAGGACTCCTCTAAGAACAAGTGCTCACTGAGTGAAGGAATGTCCTTCTCTATGTTACTTGATATTCCAGAACATATCACATGACCAGTGAGACAATAAGATGGTTAAGATTGCCAGTTCTGTAAGGTCAGAAAAATAAGGACAGGTGGGGGGCACCACAGACCCAGAGACCTCCCCTCCTTCCGAGTCCCCTGAGCCCTCCAGCCCCCTATTCCCCCAAAGCCCTTCAGCCTGACTACCCCCTAAAAGGTCCCAGATTCCCCCTTCAGGGGCCCTAAAGTCCTTCAGCTTTACTAAACCCTCACAGCCCCTCAGCTCCTCTACTTCCCTCAGACCCCTCAGTATTTCCCTCCCTCTGACACCAATGATGGAACATATTCTTCATGGCCGGCTGGGGAATGTTTCCTTCCTCCTGAGCAGCAATGTAAGGGGCTCTATGCTCCATACTCCTGACCCCGGCACTCCATCATTGTGTTGGCTGCATAGTGTAATGATTGCCCATTGGCTGCCTGTGTAGTGTCATCATTGCCCTTTGTAGGCCATGTATGGTCAGGATGGTCCTTGTCTTGTCTATTTATTGTCAGTGCTGTTTGTTTAGAGGACCATATTACTAGAATTTATCTCCACAATGAGGAGAATGTTCCGGCCCCGGAAGTGGGGGAATGTTCTGCCCCTGAAGGGGTTAATCTGGGTTCCCACACTATATATGTGTGTATCATCATCTGCTGGAGATAAAAGACGTCACAGTGACTATGGAGGAAGAGGACGGACATGACTATGGAGGAAGAGGACGGACGTGGCTATGGAGGAAGAGGACGGACACGACTATGGAGGAAGAGGACGGACGTGACTATGGAGGAAGAGGACGGACGTGACAATGGAGGAAGAGGGACGGACGTGACAATGGAGGAAGAGGACGGACGTGACTATGGAGGAAGAGGACGGACGTGACTATGGAGGAAGAGGACGGACGTGACTATGGAGGAAGAGGACGGACGTGACGCTGGAGGAAGAGGACGGACGGGACGATGGAGGAAGAGGACGGACGGGACGATGGAGGAAGAGGACGGACGGGACGATGGAGGAAGAGGACGGACGTGACTATGGAGGAAGAGGAGGACGGACTGACTATGGAGGAAGGGGACGGACGTGACTATGGAGGAAGGGGACGGACGTGACTATGGAGGAAGAGGACTGACGTGACTGTTGATGAAGAGGACGGACATGACTATGGAGGAAGAGGACGGACGTGACCATGGAGGAAGAGGACGGACGTGACCATGGAGGAAGAGGACGGACGTGACCATGGAGGAAGAGGACGGACGTGACCATGGAGGAAGAGGACGGACACGACTATGGAGGAAGAGGACGGACGTGATAATGGAGGAAGAGGATGGACGTGACTATGGAGGAAGAGGACGGACGTGACCATGGAGGAAGAGGACGGACGTGACTGTTGATTGATGGAGAGGACGGACGTGACTATGGAGGAAGAGGACGGACGTGACCATGGAGGAAGAGGACGGACGTGACCATGGAGGAAGAAGACGGACGTGACCATGGAGGAAGAGGACGGACGTGACTGTTGATGAAGAGGACGGACGTGACTATGGAGGAAGAGGACGGACGTGACCATGGAGGAAGAGGACGGACGTGACCATGGAGGAAGAAGACGGACGTGACTATGGAGGAAGAGATTGACATGACGATGGAGGAAGAGGACGGACATGACGGGGGGTTACTGGGTGTAAATAGGAAATAACATTATTACCTCCTCTGCTGCCACTTCCCCCAATGTCTCCTCTTCTTTGTGCCACATGGAACGTTCTATCTGTACCTGACATCACTTCCGGTCTGTACCTGACATCACTTCCTTTCTGTAGCTGACATCATTTCCATAGAGACTTCCTGTTTGGGTATAAGCACGATCACCACCTTGTGGAGCTCAGAGGAACTGCAGCCCTGAGAAATGTCTCATGGTGTGATCCCTTGTGCTGTGTTCAGCATTTTGAATGTTTTCTTGTCATATTTGCCCTTTAACCCCTTCAATTCCGGGCACTTATCCCCCCCTTCCTGCCCAGGACAATCTTCAGGTTCCCCTATCCTTCATTCAGGAGGTCCAGTCCCCACCATCTGGGGATACAGTATGTATGGTAGGTATATGTGAGCGCACAAAAATGGATATCAGCCGCTATGCACAAGGTAACCAAGTAACACCTTACAATAAGCAATGTAAATAATAGTGTGCAGCACTAAAATTATTGTAAAAGGTCAAAAAGGTATATAAAAGTGACATAAATATTCACAAATTGATTCTGAAAAATAAACTCGTGATATAAATAACACCAGACATATAAAAGTTCATAAAGTGACTAAGTGCTCATATATCCTGTACAGTCCTGGAAACGGTGCTGTGCAATCAGGTATGGAAGAAATGCGCACTCACCGGAACGCGTAAAATAATGTGCGTTTTGTAATAAATCCTGCTGTCATCTAATGGTCATCTCAGGGCAGGAATAGAGTAAACTCCCTCTTATGGGGGATGGGTCCTGGGACTTTAAGATGATGAATCCGGGTTTTCCAGAGTTCCCCTTAAGGGATGGATGGGTGCAGCTCACTGGGTGTAATAGAGGCTCCCTCTCTGGGGACTGGGCAGTGGATGTCTGTAAATC